TCGTGTTCTTGCTTATGCCTATAAATAGGCTTGTTATTTCATTCATTTCAATCATCTTTGGAAGTGATCAATCAACCTAGAGAGTGTTGAAACACAACCAAGAAAGAGTTGTGGAGTGTTTGAGAGTTTTTTGTTTAGAGTTTGTAAATCTCTTGTTTTTATTCTTGTGAGTAATAGAAACTTGTTTTTCTCTCAAATTATGTTTATGATCTTGGGATGATACCACAACAAACGTAAACCATAATAAATTCTTATAAAGGGTTCACGCCAAAAGTAGTTGATTATAATGCTATATTCGACAATAACAGAACAAATTTACTCTCCTATATCTTACATTTGAGACGTCGCCAAATCCGAACAGACAGTCGTCATACCAGAAAGTCGCTCTCTGTCCTCTGCTTATCTAGTTTGGTGAATAGTGGTAGGATGACATTGTTGCATCAATCGTTTCTGTTGCTGTGTAATTTTGTGTTAATAGCTGTTGATTTTCGCAGAAGATTCGCTGTTGAGATGTGTTTTTTATTAATATACGGAACAATATAATGGTCTGATAGTTTTTCCATCTTACGGAAATTGATGTGATTTTATATTAAAGAAGATTTGTGGTGTATGTGGATGGTATGTGAATCCACTTAATATTTTGTTCAGATTTTATTGATGGGTTTAATTCAAATTTAAAAAATGACCGACACTTCTTAAAAGTTTTCAAAAAAATTACTAATAAAAGTAAAAATGAAAATTTTAGGCGGGAATTCATTTGTTATTTCAAGTAAATGTCAAACCTTTTTATATTTATATAGATATAAAAATTAGCATTTTACCTGATAAAGATGAGTCCACTCGGTCCATGAACTCGCAACCTAATACAAGAATTTTTATGTTTCAATTATCAAAGATTGGAATATAAACCATAAAAAAATACCTAAAACTAAATAAACAGAAAAATGGCGCTAATTGTCCACCCATCATCATCTTCTCCATCTCTCACCACCGTTAAACCCCATCTCCGTCTCCACCGGACGTCCCCCAAATTTCTCATCAGGGCACAGAATGATCTTTCCACAGAAGAACCCAAATCGGGCGCGGGCCCTTCTGCCAAGAAGCCCGGGGGTTCATCACCAGGCCTGGGGTTCGGTTCACCAGCTGCAGCTTCGTCTCCAGCTCCAGCCAAGACGAAACAGTCCAAGGGAAAAAGAGAGCGGGCCTCCATTATTCGCCGTGAGCCGGTCGAGAAACCCAATTTCGCCACGCCTCAGCCGGCGGCTCAAGCTGAGGAGCTGAGGAAGAATGAGAGTTATTTTCTTTTTGCTTGGTTGGGACTCGGCGCTGTTATTCTCCTCGAGGGCATCGCTCTTGCTGCTTCAGGTTTGCGTTTTAGACTCTGTTCTCAGGGAAAGTTATTATAATTCTCTCTGTCGTTAATTGGAAACTGGAACCATCGACTGATAAAGTAAGTTGCTGTATTTGGTTAGAAGCTTAGAAGCACTTGAGATCTAATGGAATTTTGTCAATGTGGAGGTCGGAAGATTCCTCCAGACACCATTTTTTAGGCTTAGTTATATTTTGCTAGTTTAGAATCTTTCCCATCTTACTATGATGGAGCGCGTAAGAAGAAAATAAGTAAAGTTTGCTTGAAAGATGATAGGTCTCTCTATGTTCAATAACCGAGTGAAATATGTCACAGCGAGTTGGCTAATTAGAGGGAGTCTATTGCCAATTGTTTCCAATTTATTTTAGAATGATTACATCGCTTGCCAATTCTAATGTGATCCTAACAAGCTGAATATAAGATGCAGTGTTGGCTTCTTAGCAGATAATCTAATAGAAGGGCAATTTAGCTAGAATTTTATGAAGCCCTAAAGAGTTGCGTTGTTACCAGCTTCTACAAGTGCTGATCATTAACCCTTCTCGTTAGACCCTTCGCCTAATTATTGGCTCACCTTCCTCGCCTTACGGTGAAGCTACATTCGGACTGTTCGCCTTTCGGTGATACCATTCAGAAATGTCAATCATATATTCTATTTGTTGTGATAATGATCTGTGAATAGATGAAAAGAAGAGGGAACAAGAATTTCCACCCTTACAACAAGATCCATGACCGAATTCCCCTCATCTGTTCTTATTGAAATCACTTCTCAGCTCATTCAACTAATTGGCGTTGCGGCTAGCCCGCTCATCGTTCAACTAACGTATCTTCCATGGGATCATTCCTGAACATTTGAGTTATGAAGCTATATAATCGTTCGATTTCTGCTTTGTACTTAAAAAGTCTTTTCAATTGACCGATCTTGCATCTGATGGAGTGGAGTTTCAGTTATGCTTTGCATATACCATTGAGTTCAGTACAAATAAAGAAACTCAATCATGATACAGCCTGCTGGTATTTTTTAAGACTCGTGATGCAACATAGAGAACGGAAATTCCTTCTGCACTTGTTCTTTTAGGTAGTATTTGGAGGAAAGGTTTAAAACTAATGGGTTGCAAATCTAGAATGATTAAGCTGTCATGTTTGTTTGGAGAGTGGAAGTCAAGTTCTTTAGGCCCATCTATGAGCTTTTATACGGTCAGTTTTCTGAATTTCCAGTTACGCCAAACATGTCATTTCAAATTCTACCCTCAAATGCAGTTCATCCCTTCCAAAAGCCACCTTAAAGAGTACCCAAGTTACAGATCCATAAAAGGCTTCTCAATCTTTCTTTATGCTGTCTCCAGGAGTTAAAATGAAACATATTCAATAAAATAAAAGGAACAACACATTTCGTAGTGGTGGGTTTATCGTGCATTTACTTGTTGCAGCTCTAGGATAAAGCACAAGAGACAAGACCTAAAGAACTGCAGAAGACATATCCTGGATAGGTGCTTATTTTGTCAAATTACACCCAAGTGTACCTGAGCCTTGGAAAAACTAATAATCCAAACATGTATTCAACTAGTGAAAATATCATCATTTAAAAGCTTTAACTATTTAAGATAGGGTAACTTACCTGCCATCTCTAGCATCAATCGGTAATGTGGTTAGTTTGTCTTCTTATGATTATGTACTGCCATTGTTCCAATTTTCTTACAAAGCCATCGTATGAAAATGAGTGCTAGCTGTTACATCGAGCGCATAACGGATGTCTATTCGTGTTTTTGTAGCATATGTTTTAACTTCCTCATTATCCTGCTTGCAGGTTTTCTTCCAGAAGCATGGGATAACTTCTTTGTCAAGTATCTATACCCAGCTTTCACCCCAACTGTCTTCTTGTTTGTTGCTGGCACAGTTGCCTATGGAGTCTTAAAGTACTTGCAGAATGAAAATTCTAATAACGAAAATTAAACCTGCCATGCAACACTGAACCAGTTTTATCTGTTCAAAAGAGGTGGATATAGGTTTGCTTACATTATAACTTGTTTCTGAATTGGCTGTTTCTTGTATTGTCTGCTTTAGTCGGAATGAAAATTCATTTGTACCGAGTTTTTTATTTTATTTTTTAATATTTTTTTTAATGGTCCTATTGCTCCTACCATTTCTGTTTTAGCTTTCTATATCAGTCTTTGACCCCTGTGATTGGAGGTAAATTGATTTCATAATATACATCCATATGAGATTCACACTAGTTTTTGTCTCTCATTCTCGGTGGTTAAAAATCGTTCCCTGTAAGGTGAGATGCAACATGTTTTGTAGTTTCTTGATCAAAGAATATTCTAAGCACAACTTTGCTGGATTTATGTGACATATTGAACCTTTTATACCACATTAGCATACTCGTATCAATTTTTGATACAATACAACATTCTTAATGGTGCTGCAGGGAGATTCATTGCATCTTCTTTACATAGCCTCATCTCCAATTGACATTTTTACAATTAAGCGTGTATTGTCGATTTTTTACCTCGTAAAATGTGCATAAACGAATCATGGATTGTATTATCCTTCGGTTTTATTTGTTTCATAATTATATGCATATATGGTTTTAGCAGCAAAGCTACTTCAAAATTTGGCTAAAACGTTGGTTTGTAACGCATATTTATCTCCTGGGGGCATAATACTACCAGAAAGAACTGTCCGTCCTCTTTGATCGAAACCATTATCTTCCACCAAAACTGCAAATTCCGGCAAGTGTGCATGCTTGCCAGCATTTCAAATTACATGAGCCAACATAGCCTGCACTATTGTATTTTTATGAACGGCTCACAGTCAGGTACACATAATACATTGCAAAACAACTACTTCAATTTCAAATCAAATTGTCTCTTGTCCGTATCTGATATACTTGCAGACATGAACATTAAAGCTACAAAAAAATCATCACATGATTACTCAATGGCCTCGTAGACAAGTTGGTACTTTTTAGCCGGCCATTAAGGATTAGATAGAGCTCTTTTGTGATGAGGTCCCCCCACGCCAAAACACAGTTTTTTTCAGCTTTGTATGCATTCTTCGTTTGGCCCTATTCCCCTTTTATGCCCAATCACCACATGACAGATGCCATGATGGATTTATATAAGCTGTTGTAAAACATCAATCATTGTGATTTGGGGTAAAACTGAATTTAAAGATAAATAAAAGGGGCCTTTGAGATATGGTGTTAGTACCAAGTTGAAGAGCAGGATTATTACTCCACTTATTAGTGATTGGATGGGTTGATTGGGACAATGTTTCATAGATTTGTATGCCCACGCTATTACTCTACCATTTATGAGTTTCTGGGCTTGCGCATGTATGGACTACGGCTGTTTCCTTTGCTATAGTACTAAGAGTAGAGCGTCGAAAGGATGGAGCATCAAAATGAGACGCCAAACTCAACCGACCACCAGGGACGGGACCCTACGCTAATAGTGATTGTGTGGGCTGAAGGCAAGCCGAAAAATGCTTATTCTGGTTTTTGCTTCTGGAGAGGAAAAAAAAAAAATTAGGGAGATGAATGTTGAGGAATGCTTCCCTATTCATGATGGGCACATGTTAATATGCTTACCGCTTATGTGTCATGCACATATTGGTAATGGAGAATATATTAACATCACCAATGTGTGCATGCACGTAAGCAGTGTACATATTAACACGTGTTCACCGTGAGTAAAGAACATTATTTGATAAATGTTATACTATTATTTTTATAGCATGTGTATTTATAAAAGGAGTATGTCGATCTAATGATATGAGGGACCTAATAATATATTTATGGATGTAATTTGGAAATTCAATATATTCACAAAATTTGACATTTTCATAATTAAAATGATGAAAGAAAAAATCATTTTCCAATGAAATATAACTATTGTAGGAATAATAACAACAGCAACTCATCTTGGTTTGACAATTTAAAGTGGTCCATCTGTATTTTCATTTAAATTGTCCCACCACATGGATTTTAATTGGTGACGAAGCATTTAAATGCGCCCATTAAATGCCACGGCAGATGCCGCAATGGAATTATATAGTATATTATATTATATAATAAAATAGGAAAAATTTATACCATTTACCTTCAAATTTTTATATGCACATTTATGAATATTTGTTTAATGGCAAATATACTAACTGAAGTGAATAGATTTCACCCGGCTCCTTCAACTCGAGCGGCCTCCGCACCTGCAGAACCCAACGCCGGGGGTGGCCCCGGCGTCGGGCCTCCGATGCTTAAGTCAGTGTTCAGCTCAAGAGAGAGAAAAAATGTAGTAATATAATGAGGAGAGGATGAGAGAAAGGAATACCTAAACCCCCATCTTATAGGGGAGGTGTACCTGTTGGGCCCAAATTGAGTTTGGCCCATATCGCGGTGTTATATGTCTTTAGTCCGCATGTGGGCTTATCTTCTAAAATGTATTCACTTTATTCATTAAACCGGGTCCACTATAATATCCTATATCATCTAGTCCCCCCACTCTGGTCGAGTAGGCATACTCGATCCAAGAGTGAAATGTCTCTTCGAGCCGCTTCCGTTAACCTTCCACTGAGGTTATGATTTGAATAAATTCTCGATCGCCGAATAATCATAAAACTTCCACGTGAGCACTGGAGACCGTAAGGTGTCGAAAACTGAATGACCATACACTGAGATAAATGATTGAAGGACCTTCGACAGAGGTCGAGGAACCGAAAGCCAAGAGCCAAATGATAACTGAGATCGTAAACTGAAGCCAAGAGCCGAATGACCGTTGAGGTCGAAAACCGAGAGTCAAGACCGTTGAGGTCGAAAACCGAGAGTCGAGAGACCGTCGAGGTCGAAAGCCGTCGAGAGACCGTCGAAGTCGAAAGCCGAGAGTCGAGACCG